CATAACTATAGAAAGGTATGAAAACAGGAATAGAATTAATTGTTAAAAATGAATTAAACCCACTTCATTGATGTTTTAGACTACGCTAAATGTAGCAATGTTGGCTATTTACTGTACGTTTATGTTCTGTCTTTTAGTTAAAATGGTTAGGAACTGTGACACTAAATTTGGAATTGCAACTTATTATAAATTGTTTACTAAACGTAATAATTTCGTCAGAATGCTTAAATGTTTAAAAAATTGATTTCCACAGGCAAGATACATAAGTTTAATAAACCTAGCATTTGTCATAATACAAACAGTTTTTGGGGCTCTTCTCCTCCCACCAGAGCTCCTTGGCCATAAAATCATCTATTTTTTTAAAAAAAACATGAACATCATCTTAGGTAAAATTCAAAATTCAATGCATTTGTTCTTAAGGTAATGGGCCTATCCCAGTCTCTGTTTCTATGGTTAATATTTAGTCTGCAGAGTCAGGCCAGGGCTAACTCCTGGCTTTATTGTACAGTCTGAGTTTAAGAAGTTACTCATTCTCTAAATCTATTAGCATACCCATAAGAATTAGATCAAAACCTTAAATTTCCATGTAGGATTTTCTTGTGGAGATAAAATTAGGGAAATGCATACAAAGTGTTGAGTGTAAGTACCTACACGGAACAGATACTGATATAAGTTTAATATAACCTATTCTCGTTATCAGTTAGAAGTGAATTTCGTTGCAAGTAGCAAAAAAAAAAGAAAAAGAAAAGAAAAAAAACAGAAAAAAAATGTCGCTTCCCTGTTTTAAACGGACAGGAATTTATTTTTCCCACATAACAAGAAATCCAGGGGCTATACTCCTTCTGTCTTCCTCTCAGCCGTCTCAGCATGGTTGCGATAGGACTGGTGTACCCCAGGCAGCACGAGGGCAGAGTGAAAGGCAGAAAGGCAGGGGGCCGAGGGCAGCTTGGTCAGTACCAATTAAAATCCTTCCCAGAAGCCTGACCCAGTGAAGCTGCCATCTTTATCTCTTTGGTTGGAACTGGGGCTCCCTGGAATACAGTTTAGCAAGTCTTCTAGCTTTCCCTCTTCTCTTGTAGAGGATAGTGAAGGGGTTGTGAATGGCTTTGGGGTGTCTGCAAACATCATCCTTATTATTCCGTCATTTTCCCTCCTGAAGCCACAGATTCCTAGTCTGTGAAATGAGAGGCTTCTGGCTAGAAGATCTCCCAGGTTGCTCCCCGCAATGACACTCTCTTTAAAGGCTGTTTCTTTCTAAACACCAAGTACTCTTGTAATAAACTATGCACGGCGCCCAGGTCCTCCCAGGTGTCCAGCTCCTGGGAGTGCTGCCAGCACTGGCCCTCAGTTGTCACCTTGGCCTAAGAGAGCTTCCTTCCCCAAGGACACTCACTCCTTCCTGAGGCAGACCACACCCAACGTCTGGGCCACGTGGGGCCTCAAGGACTGGCTGCCCCACCTCAACTGCAGCAACTCTGAAGGTCCTTTGAGCTGTAGAGCTTCCCGAGGGGTAGAGAAGCCCTCTGCTGAGACTGTGCTCTGCACCCCAGCTTCTCCCCCCGCCCAACCCCTCTTCCTTCCCTCTCCTTCCGCACCTGTTGAACTTCCCACACACTAGCATCTGTCTTAGAGTCTGTTTCCTAGGGAATGCAATTGCAACAATTCCTTACAGATGTCCCTGAAGGATCCTATCCCAGGAGGAGCAGACTGTTGTCTGACCTCAGGTCAGACCTTCCACATATGCTGCAAACCTCACTGGCAGCAAGCATTGATAGGGCTGAAATATTCAGAAGCAACAACTAAAAAATTAGCCTTAATGAGGAGTTATTTGGGGGTTCTGAGAAAAACATCTAAAAAGGAAGAGAGATTCCAAGAAAGTGATGGCACCAAGATCAGGTTCTGGCCATTTCCTAATAGACGATGCAGGATGTAAACATATTTCTATTCACATAGGCTAATCAAGTCCCTAGGAATATAAGTTAGTATAAGTATCTCAGCTTCTTAATCAAACAGACTGTATTCTTCAATTCCAGCTCCATTATATAAGACACTATAACCCTGAATAAGTTACTGTCCTCCCTGAGACTACGTTTCTTCATCTCTGAAGGATGGGGATGGGGGTGAGAAAATGTATAGACTCAGCTCTTCACACTGGTGCTTCCATGAATATGATCAAGTGGAGTTTGGATGCCTTTTTTTTTTTTTTTGCCAGGAGCGTTGGTAAATGGAATGCCTATATTGGAAAGTAAGTTGATTTAAATTAGTAGTTTTCAAACACTTTAGGCAGAAGAATTATTTTTCTTTCATCAAGATCTTGCAAATAAAGCAGATAAAAATCAGGATTTTATTAAGCAGAAATTTTATAAGTTCAAGTATAGAATGCTTAAAAATAGTTCAGTGGGATCAAAAGAGACTATTAAGATGAACAGAAAATTTTGAAATCAAGTTTACAGATGGCAGTTACAGACATATGGCTGCAGCACCTAATTTTTTTCTGTGGGTTTTTTCGTTTGTACAGCATTGAAAAATCTTGACTCACACAAACAGCTATAAATGATAACAGTTTAGAACAACTTGACCTGTAACCTCAGGATATTTCTCAGTTAAATTGTGTTGATGGGAGACTTTTATTCTAAGGTCTGTAGAAAACCAATTAATTTGTGTAAGTTAATGTACTGGTGTTTTTTGATATGTTAAAACTCATATACTGTTTTTGAGTGTAAGCATTGTTCTTTATTGCACTTTTAAAAATAGTTTAAATAATTTCTTTTGGAAAATGAAATTATAATAGAATCAAACATTTTTGGAAGCCCTGGAACAGAGTTTGAAAACTACAAAGTTTGATGGAGATTCTATGCTTATTCCAAATGTTTGAATCTATGATTCTTCTTCTATCATTGGCTACTTAGCAAATCTGCCAAAGGTCACTTACTAAGACACTTCACACTGTCTACTGAGTGGGTAGAAAGCTCTGCTGTAAGTTAGTTTATCCTCTGGTGGCTTCTAAGGAAAGGCTGGGAGGGTGTAAAGTGCTCAATGCCTCGCACAGATTAAGCGTTCTGCACAGAGTTATTGCCATGAGTGCCACATTGCTGTCACCCGGGACGCCCAGAACTAAGAAAATAGCAGCTCTGTAGGATAGAGGTTGATGGGGGAAAGAAATCAGTGTGTTGGTCAAGGTGGTAGTTACTTGGGTTAGCAGGTAAGTCATTATGCTCAAATAATAGCACAGGAGGCTGTAAGAAAACCCCTGGGATGGAGAGTGGAGGCTTACAGCCCAGGCAGACGGTGAGTTAAGCAGATGGCACTCAGCTAAATTCCCTCACATGGTTTATACAGCCTCAATGCAGAGGCAAACTGATCACTCCAAAGTGAGTGAAATCTGTGTCTACTTTTATAGCTCTCATTTCTTTAATACCTATTGCTAGGCTATGCAGAAAGTGGGCACACGATAAATGTTTGTAAATCAATGAAAAGTCAAGCTGAACCAAATCTTTTAATTATAAGTATAGCTACTTGGGCCATCAGAGTGCAGCAGACACAAATTCAACCCTGACTCTGGCAGGTGTGGGTATCCCAAACTAAGCACCTGTCACAACACTGAGGCAGCTATGCCATTTTACTCCTGGAAGAGTGCTCATTCAGAGTCTACAGTACTACTGACTCAACTAGTTCCAACAAAACAGAATGTCCAAAATACAGGTATAGGTAGTACCAACTGGCTATACCTTTCATAACTATCTTTTTTTTTTTTTTTTGCACCCATATGAGTATATACACGAGCTTTCCTGTATTCGAGTGCTTGGATCATAAAGTAAAATTGCACCAAAAACCAAATGACTCACTCCCCTAGAGCATGAATGATGCTAAACAATGGGCGACAAGGAGCAGACGTTGCCCATGACAACCAACAGCCATCAGGGTATTTTGGAGACACAAAGAAGAAAAAGCACTATTTTTTCCAAAAGCAATTGACTATATCATTTTCCTAACAGTCCAAATATGTAATTTTCATTCATTGGCTGACATCTACAAGTCCTCTTCTGTTCTATCATGCTGCATTTCAGAAACTGAATAATCACAAAAAACGTGGTTACTTTTCACTACCTTGTCTCAAATCTCCTTAACTCAGGAAAATCTTTCTTTCATTCTCTATTTGAATAACAAATAGCACAGATACTCTTTGAGGCTAATCTATAGCTGACAGTCAATGATTCTTCCTCATTTTCAGTAGAGAATGTGTCACTGGTGCTGATTCAAGGGAAGCACTGCCAAAGCTGCTGCTCCATTCTCCAACTCTGTTTGGAGAGCCCCCATCCTCTGATATGCATCCTTTAGATGCTTGATTTTACTTTTTACCCTTCTTATACTGTCCTATACATTAAAAAATATTGATTTCTGGCCCAGAGCTGGCTTTTACTCATTTCTGATCAAGTTTCTCATTCATTTTCTACCATCTTGTCTTTCCTTGTGCTTTTCTCCTCTCACTTGGAATTGATGACTCTATTTTGAATGCCTTCCCCTTCCCTTATGCCAAGAGAAAGACTACTCATGCTTAAGAATCATCAACTACTTCCTTGGAAGACTTCTTTGAAATAACTCCAAAACCATAATGATCTTCTTTTCTGAATTTCTGCCAAAATTACATTCATTTCCACATACTCATCAACAAGCACTTTCATCAGTGATTAGTTTCTGAATCCCTACAAGCTCCACTTATTGCTTAGTTGCACCTCAGCTGTTTTGAAGTGAGCCATCATGTTTGATAAACTTCTCTTTTATCTCCAATATAGCTCAGCATGGAGTTGGAATATTCACCTTCAACATTTACTGATCCACTTAACCAGGTCAGTGTCTCCACCTCCTAAAATATAAAACTCTTGATGGCACAATTCTCTTTTTGTTGAACTTTGCAAGGCATCACAGGTACCCTGACAGATAAATGCTTTCTGATAATGGCTGTAGTCTTAGATCTGGAATATACTCTCATAGCTCCTTACCTGGATTAAAAACTGGAAACCAGTGGTAGAATTCATTCTTGTAGGGAACAGTGTCAAACTCACTGCACTGCATCTGCCGAAATGTTGGTGTATCCGGGCGACAGGGGTGAATGTTGCACAAGCGATAGCGTTTTCTTTCTCCAGTGCAGTACTTCCCTCCAAACTTTGGTCTACACATGAAATACACAAACTCTTCTTTAATTTCCTTAAAGGCCAGTATTTTCTTTTAAAAATCCTCTGGCATCTGGCCATGCCCCTTCCTTGCCAAACCTTGTCCCTCTCTAGCCTCAAAACTCACCGTTTGAATAAATTCTTCAAATTTCCCACATTTTTTGCTGTTGCCCATGAACCTTCAGTCCCAAGTATATAGTTGCCTGTTTTGAAATAGTTTGACTCCGTGGTCGATTAGTTGCCTGGTCATCAGTTGTGACTTTAGTTTTGTTTCCTCCTTTTCATTCCCACAATCACCAAACTAGTTCACCCCTTATCTCCATTCCTGTCTGCCCTCTTTTTCCTCATTTAACCTACTGTACACACCCTTCTCTGGCTAATTTTTATGATTGCCTTAATTATTTTAGTTTCCTGTTTAAAAATCTTTAATGGCACCCCATGGCCACAGAATCCAGTCCAGCCTCTTGAGCTTGGCATCCAAGGCCCTCATGATACTGACTTACCTCACCTGAATAACATTTCTTCCCACACTCCTCCTTATTTGCACACTGCTCCCATGATACAGGCTGACTTATTTGCTATTATTTTTTCTGTGCTTCTAGAAAGATTTCTGCTCTCTTAAGTCTCTAAACATCTACATACTGCCTGTGCTTTAAGGACCAATAAATGCTATCTCCATTTCTATCATGAATTCTTCCTGAAGTCCTGCCAGAAGTAATCTCCTTCTCCTCTTAAATGACACTTTATTATCCTACTGGCACTTCCTGCATTTATCACACCCAAAGATAATTCTTTGACCAAGGCAGTTCACATTCATTAACTCCCTTTAGGCGGGACTAAGAATTGTCCTTGAGAGTTGAGGGTAGGCTGGCTTCCTATCTGTGATGATGGAGTGACACTCTATGACTTGGCACCTCTCCAAGTCATTTCCATCCAAGAGTCTTTTGTGAGCCAAGCCCTGCTGGGTTCTCACTAGACAGCTGACTGATACATATCAAGGACGCACTGACCTGAGTCTGTGACCTGAATCACAGAACTGAATCTGTTACTGTGTTTCCATTGTTATGGTTCTCAATGAACTTAAGCAAACCAGCTACTGAGATCAGACATGGTCACTCATCCAAGGAGACTCTAAGACAAACTGTAGCCTCTGAGATGGGAGTTGGGACCATTTTTTCCCCCTGAAGTCAAGTTAGAGGATCATCTTTCATTTCCTCAACAAGGATGTCCCTTTTCTGACAACCATGGATCACTGACCATCCTCCCAGGAAGGCTACAGACTGGTAGTGGCTGATACAGAACACTGACAATAGGTCCTAGAACTAATCACCTGTATTCCCTGATCTCTGAAATGGAAATCACTTTTCTGATCACATTGAAACAAACTATAAAGATATTCTGTAAAAATACTTTTTAAGGGATTTCTGGTTTTGAATTTTTGAAGTCACAGGAACTTTGTATTTAAACAAAAAGGTAAGATTTAAAAACAATTTTGCCCAAATTCCTCAAATGTACACTTACTTATATGCATGGGAGATGGTAAAGATAGCATAATAACTACCATTTACTGACAATTTTATGTAGTAGATATTATGTTAAACTCTTCATAGATGTTAATTTATTAACCCCTAGGATAAATTTTATATATATATAGTTTATATGTATGTATATATATATATATATATACATGCAGATATATATAGAAATATATTTATTATAAAAAGGAGAAGTAAGATTTGGAACTGAAACACTGAGAGAATTATAACCATATTTATCACTTTTAAAAAATGTGACTGACTCTTACTCTTTAATGCAGACTAATGTAAATCTAGGTAAAAGAAGTTTAATACATTTTCTACTTACAGGAGGCATTGTATGTACACTTTTTAAAAATTATACTTGGGAACTAGTATACTGAGAAATAATGAAATTAAGAATGTAATATATATTTGGAAATCAAGGAAATATATAATATCATTATACAAACTTAAAATATGAAAAAATTAAGCAATTTGATTAAAAAATTGAAAGCCACTTGTGAAATAACGTCTATGGAATCCTTGACAGGCTAATATGGAACTCTGAGGTTTACAAAATCCTAATCTAAAACATTAAAAATAATTATCCTCAAAAAATGTGCCTAGCTATTTAATTAGTCACCTAAGGGAAGAAGAATATTTTTATAAAATTATACATTCATTACGATGGAAAGAAAGCTGTCATCTTATCAGCAAAATTGGGTATAACTAATCCCCACTGATAGAATGGGGTTATTTAGAAGGATTTAATTGTGTAATCTCCTAAAGTCTTTCACATAGATTGTATTTTTTTTAAAAATTTGCTTATTTCTCCAAATGATGGAATCAGCTTACTTACCCAAGTTCTAGTAAGAATCCAGTGCCAAGCCAAAATGAAACAAAGCAAAAAAGAACCACCTTTTTTTCACACTCTGTGAATCTTCCTCCTGGCTCCCTTTCATCTTTGGGAACATATCTGATTTCCCTCAGGAGGCCTGGGGTCACTGAAGTCATGCTGTCCACGACTAGTCTCCCGGTGCTCATGGAAGGAAGGGAAATATCTTTGGCTGGACTTACTCGGGGTTGTTGCAGAGCCTCTCTGCACTCTGGGCTCCAGCTCCACAGGTTCTGGAACAGTGGGACCAGGGTGACCAGCGGCCCCAGCCTCCGGGAATACTCTCTGGTTTCTTGCCCACTGTGATACACTTGCCAGCCATACACCACTGGAAAGGGAAAAGGCAGGAGATGCATAAGTCAGGAAGGTTCCCATAGTAAGCTGAGTCAGGAAACCTAGCAGTCTAAACCCAGTTCTCCCAGAGCAAGCAGACTTCCTACAAGTCACACATCAGATGTAGCACAAAGAGAACCTCATAAAAGAAATTCCCCCAAGAGTCTTGGGTTTTAGAATCAGAGTCTTTCAGGAATTAAAGGGAACTTTACAGTGCCTAGTTGCAGTGAATGCAGGAGTGTTACTCAAAGTGTGACTGACAGATTGCACCCCAGAAGTAAATCAACACACCGCTTCCTTCACTGAGAAAGTCTCGCCATGAAAAGCATGTCAGCTGAATAAGCTTAGTAATATAGCTGTTCAGTAACGTGATTGACTTCCTTTCTGGTGCAAGCTTCTTATCTTGTTGAAGACCGTAACAAACATTTTGCAGACTGGCACTGTGATAACACTTCCCTTTAGCCTCTATGGGTATTTAATGTTTGCAACAGATAACATCCTCCTGCAAAATGTCCACTCATTGCCGGAAAACACAAGTTGTTAAGAAGCTGAAGTTAGGCATCAAGAAAAATTTCTGCTTTCCTATAACTCTACCCATTCTTTCCAGTTCTGGTGTCTCAAGTGGCTCAGGAAAAAGTCCACTCTCTCCCTCTTCAAGGGAATCCTTCAACAACTACCAGTTTAGGAGGGTGAACACAGGAAAAGGGAAACAAGAAATGCAAGTTGGTTGTTAGAAATGGCCACATTTCCTGGAGGATCTGGGCATGTTTCATCTGCTGGCCTCCTCTTTCTCATTATTTCTGGTCACTGTGTATTCTGATTAAGTTCTGTAATCTCAGTGATGGGTCATGCCACACTCAAGCTGTGTAAAGACACCCACTAAACACATAAATCCTAGGCCCACAACGAACCCAAATGGTGTTGTTGAGCAGCACGTATTACCCTGTTCTTAGGTAGTCTGGAGGATATCTAACATCTCTGAGTTCTTGGGTATATGGCTTTCCTGCTTAGTAAGGTGCGTAGGACTTCAAGAAATGCAGGTCAGATGATGAGAAAGAAGATAACAAGTGGTCCAAATTCAGCATCTTTGGAAAGAAGAAGCCACTGGCTTGTCCTTCCCAATGTTCAATATGGAGGGGGGAAAAATGTCAAAACGAAGGTTGATGATAAGCCCAGCAGATGTTACTGACCACAAACTCCACGGAAAGTCATCAGGAAAAGATGGGCCAGATGTTTTATAATTGGAGCGTGGCCCTCTCTCCCTGACTACTTGTTTCCAGTGAAGGCTCAAAAGGAGTCGCAGAAGTGGAATCCTTTCCTTTGGCAAGTCTGACTGCGTGATGATCTGCCTTCACCCAGAGGCAGCTGCTCTCCAGGGCCTTCTCCTCCGCTCTCTCTAAGAACGCTAAGCCCTTCACCCACCACCTTCCTTCCACGCATCACTGACACGTCACGGACACGTCACCTTCTTCTCGCCACATCGCGTCCCGTCTGCAGCAGCGTCCAGCTTGGAGCGACAAAAGCCTTTCACAGAGCACCACAGTGTCTGGCAAACATTCTGAAAAAAAAAACACGAGATCGTACTTTTTTTACATTCAAAACTTGCACAAATACCGCAAAAAACAAACAAACAAACAAAAAAACCAAAAAAAACCTTGCACAAAAGCATTTCTACAGTGATGGTAAAATATACACACACTCACCACATACCCACAATAAATGCTGCTGTTGTTAGTGAGTAACGTGATGCAAAGAAATCACACAAGAACCCTCAGTTTAAACTTAACTTGGACTTTGTCATCATTCATAAACAGTGGTCTGTAGGCCAGTCTAGGCAATATGAAAATGGGAGGTAAAACACATTTCCCAAGAGTTGAATTTCTATACCTGTGGCACAATATCCAGTACTCACTGCCCTTAGGCAGGGCAACCGGTGACAGTAGTCATCAAAGAGCACTCCGGACTGTGATGGAAGGTGATCTGATTACAAACAGCTGGGCGGTTATAACTTGAGCCTGCTCATTGAAGGAAAGTGAAACTATTCCATCCAGAAAACCTCAGCTTATTTACTTATTACCCAAAACAGCCAGCTTGTTTTAGCTGCCAGGGAGTGAACTGAATCTTCCCTCACATTCCTCCTCCTGCAGTAGGAACAAGGGAAGGTTGACAAGATTCTTACATAGCATCTGAAATGGCTCAGCTGATTCCATCCACCTTTTAGTCTTGCTTCTATCCACCCATCTGCCATCATTCCATCTACTTACTGTACTCTATATTCAATATGCTCCTTCATCATAAGATCTTGTATTTTTAACTATTTTAAAAAATTCTTAATTTTTATCTTTCTAACTCTTGCCTCTCCATGATTACAACTTTTGCAACTATTCTCTCCCTTTGCAATTCACAATTATTGTTGATGGATCTTCCTATTCCACCCTTCACGTTTCAACTTTACTTTCGTATTTTTTAGCTCTCAATTTTCTTATACATAAAAGTTGAAAAAGCCTGGATTTCTATCAGGAAAAGGCCAGTCTCTCCTCCATCACACAACTCTGAGAAACACTCAAGTGGGATGGGAAGTAATTTTCTCAACTCTAAACTTCAACTGACTGATTTTCTCTTCAGCTCTGTCAAGTCTGCTGTGTAACTCGTCCACTAAATTTATAGTCAATCACGATATTTTTCATTTCTAGAGGTTGTAACTGTTCTTCACATCTACTTTAAATATATCATATAGTGCTTTTTCTTCCCTTTTCTTATATAAAACTTCTCTTTTATGCATCTATTTTATTATCCCTACCTAAAAAATTCAATTATCCAAAGCTCTTGAAGGTTTATTGTCTTTCTTCATTTAGTTGAAGATAGACCGTCTTACATTTTTAATTAGGTGCTGAATTGTGAACTCAACTGAACAAAGCTTTATCTATTGGAGTTTTGTGCATCCTTAGCTGAGTGTTGGCTCCTCCAGGGCAGTTTTTCAACCTTTGTTTCTACCAGGCAGCCCATGGTATTATCAGGTCAGAAATATTTTCATGTGGATTTTTTTGAGGGGTTCTCAAACCATGCAAGAGTATAAATATGAACTCTAAATTGGCATGAGGCTGGCCCATGGTAGGAAGTTTCTAGTGAGGAAGTTATCCACCAGCACTCTTCTCCCTCAAAACTCAGGCTGAGATAAAAGATGCTTCTCTGTCATCTCCCTTTGTTGGTGGTGGATTTCTTCTAATCTGCTCTGTCATGGAGGCGTAGCTCTTAAAGGCTCCCAGCTTCAGATAGGGGTCTCAGTCCTAACTCACTGTGCTGCTCAAGGTGAACATCTCATTGTCTGTTGCCATTCAGAGGTTAAAATCAAAGTCCTTTAGTTATTTGATGCTTATCACTCCTTCTTTGTCCCACCCCCCCCTGCCCCCCCGGGATAGTTTTAAACTTTCTTATAAGTTCATAATGCATTTATAAAGAGTGATATTCTGGGTGAGGATACACAAGAACTCTCTGCACTATTTTTGCAGCTTCTTTTGAGATGTAAACTATTTCAAGATAAACAAAAGTTATAATAAAGAAGGATGATGCTACATTCTCTAGTATTTTTGGTTTTTTTTTTAAGTATTGAAAATGATTAGGTTATCTTGGCTGCAATATGCAGGGATTTGAAGACTTTATTCACTTATTGATTGAGTGCCTACTATGTGCTAGGTACTGCTGAATGTCAGGAATAAAAATTTCCTCAGAAAACTTACAATATAGTAGGGGAGGGTATAAACAAGTGAGAAGCAACTATAATATAGTCTAGTAAAAGCTTTGTCAGAAATTACATAGATGTGAACAATAGGATGTGAAGTGATATTTAAGCTCAGACTCAAATGATGAGTAGGAGGGATGGTCCAAAGGAACCAGAGCATGTAAAGTTCTGGAGGTAGTGGAGAACCCAGCATGTACAGGGAATGAGGTTGTTCAGTACAGATAAACAGAATATAAAATAAGATTTGACCAGAGATAACCAGAAAAATCCTTACCTCTATAAAACATCTACAATCCTGGATAAAATATTCTAAATGTTTTAAACACATTCCTGAATTGGTAAGGAAGTAAGGGAAATCCTCAGAGGCTAAAAATGTAGGAGAAATTGTTAATCTGAAGATACAAACCTAGTAACTTAGATTTTAGTTTTGATGGTCACTTGGGCACTGGAGAAAATGCCTCACGTCTATGTAGGGTAGGAAGTTGGATTTGATACCTCATATAAGGCCATAACCCCAAAGGACTACCCCCTGACTGAAAGAAACCTCAGAACACAGCTGGGAAATTGTCTGGTTTGACTTTAACTCTAGAAGGAGTGGTAAAATGTTACCCCTGAGAGTTTGTATCCATACTGGCCCTGATCTCACTCATGTAGGTAGTGAAACAACACCCAACCAATAATTTATTTTAAATGGACCCAGGGATGGCAGTGAAATTTCTCTCTAAAAGAATGTGCCTTCCATCTAAACCCTAAAGAATAGCCTGACATGAAGCTTCACAACCGAGAGTTCACAATAAAAGCAGAAATTGACAAAAGGAAATAATACATAATAAGCGAGACCCAGAAGAAACGCCAAATAGGAGAAGCAGACCCACACAGACTCTGGACATCAGAATTGTCCATTATAATTTGCAACAAATGTGTCTTATATGATTAAAGAAGGAGATCATATTGAAAGTCTGAATTAGAAATAAGATCATAAAAAAAGCAGAGAAAATCTAGAAAAATAACAAAAGAAACTGTTCTAAGTTAAAAAAAGTACCATAAATGAGATTAAAAAGTCAATAGGTTAAACAAAGGACTGGACATATCTGAAAAGAGAACTAGTGAGTTGGAAGGGAAAGAGGAAGAAATTACACAAAATGCAGAGATGTGAAGAGATGAAAAATATGAAGGATATGAAGTGATAAAATCCGACATACATATACTTAGAATTCCAGGTTAGAGAGTAGAGGGTTAAAATAATATTTTAAGAGATAAGGCCAAAGAGTGAGAGAGAGGATGAATTCTGAAGCCCCTTTAAACCATTTTAGAGAATTTGAATTTTCTTGTAGGGGCATAGGGAGGCTGTGAAATATTTTAATAAGAGAGGAACACAATCAGATTTCCTTCATAAAGGTCGATTTGGCTGTGTTTTGGAGAGTGGAGCAGAGTTGAGGGGAGGTGGTCAGAGTCTTAGAAAGGAGACCAGTCAGGGGACTACTGAAATCATAGGAACAGGTGGTCTTTAGAGATATTTTGGAGGCAGAATTAGCATAACTTGGCAACCAGTTCGAAGTAAGGTGAGGGATTTTTGCGACAACCTTACCTTCTCTGTTGTCTTGCTTGTTCTGTCTGAGCAGTTACTTCCTCTTCAGCATTCTCTCTATATGTCTCTTTTTGTATTTATCTGACTGCATTGAAATTTCTCTGTCTGCCTCCCCAACCAGAGAATGAGCTCCTCAAGGTCAGAGAATTTACTTTATTCGTTCTTGAGGTCTCATCTTTTTCACCCTGTTTGGTACACAGCACAGAATCTGGCAGGGGTCAATGAGACCTGCCTTGTTCATGTCTGTGTATTAACACAGACACTTGTGCACTAAAAGGCATGAGTTCAGAGAATAGGCAAGATCCAGATCACAAAGGGATGCCATACAAAGGAGTTGGGACTTTATCCTGTGGTCAGTGAAGACCCTAAGAGCAGAGAAGAGCCACAGTTGATTTGTGTCTTTTTGAAATAACTTAAGCAAGAGTGTGAAAGAGGGAGAGGTTGGGTAGGAGGTAATTACAATAGAAGGAGAGGTGATGAGAAACTGAATCAGGAGAAGAGTAGTGAGAATGAAGATGACAGGTTAGAGCCACAAATGCCATCAGAGGCTAAATGTCAGGGCTTGACTTATCACTTGGATGTTGAAGAAAATAAAGGAGAAGAATGAATTAGGGATAAATCTTAATCCTACCTTGGCATCTGGAGGTGCTCTTCAATCAGAGAGGAAATTCAGGAAAGGGAGCAACTTTAGGGATTAAGTTGATTGCTATGGAGCCTGCAGGTGTGAATAACTGTGATTCTTGAAAATCACTGTAGAATTTTCTTTACCACCACTCAGTTGCAAAGGATACCAAGGAGGCGGGTCAAGGAATATAAATGACCTCAACTTCAGTCCTTCTGCCTTACAGACATCTTGCCATGAATAGAAAGTTTCCATTTCTGGATCTTCGGATTTCCAAATATTTCCCTGGCCCTTCCTTTACCATGCTGGATCTCAAGCCCTGCCCATACCCACCAGAGGCACCAATATATCCAACACTTACTTCTACTTCCTGGCAGAAGGTAGCATTGGGGCCATACTGCAACTGGCATTGGTGGTGAACATCATAGATCACTCCAGGGGCAATGACGTTGGACTTCAAGCCTTTCTTTTTGGGGTTGTCATCAAGACAGAACCCCCAGCCTCGGCTGAAAATGAGTTAATAGAAATGAGAGCAGTTGCTTATGATCTCCTCCTAAATGAAAGGTTTAGCCTTTCATTCAAGAGAAACTTCCATTCCTCTAGTGTACTCTGTCCTTCAAGACAACTTTATTTCTATCAGGCCCAAGGTGAGAGTTGTCTAAAAGGAAATGCAAATCGCACCTCACACCATTTGTTCAGATGTGATCTAAGAAATACAAGCAGTGGTAAAGTGAGAAAATCACCATCTTACCCCAAATGGGGTACAATGACCACTGACTTGTCTGGGTTGCTTCTGCCAGTCCCCAGGGACTTAACTCACGATCAGGTCATAAAGAGCCACCTTCAGACAGAAGCAAGCTGAAGGGGGAGTCGGGGGGAGACGGAGTATTCACCTGGCTGAGGCTGGAGGCAAAACCCACCTAGATCTCAGGGTCAGAAAGCAGCAGTGAGGTCCACCCCTTCTGTTGCCACCCTCATACTGTGACCTGTGAGAGGAACCGAGACTTTTCCGGGCCTCGGGTAGAACTCAAAGTGACTTCCGGTTTACAGAGAGCCAAGTGAGGCTGTCCTGAGATGTGCGGTCACTTACTCCAGGAAGCGGGTGATGTACTCCTTGCTGCACTTGGACCACGTCAGTGGGGTGGGATTGTACTGGAGCTGGCGGGACATGATGGACGGGTGCCTGCCCACAGGCTCACAGTCATTCTCCTTCCCGTCATGCTGGATGCCGAAGCTGCAGGGGGCAGAGACACAAGGATATCAAGGAGGCAGGCGTGAAACAAGGAGAAAAGCACAGTTTCTCCAAGGTGAAAATAACCCACAGAGAGCCACCTCTGTACAGAAGGCATCTGATTAAAAAGCAGTCCTTTGAAGTTGGAGGGGTCTAGCTAATTTTCAACTCAAAAGCACAGGAAACATTTCAGGCATGGCTTTGTTTCAAATATGCAACCCTGGGAGCCATGTGGCTAATTCAAAAACTTCTGTTTGGCAGAAAGCTAAAAGCTTCCACTTTGGCTTTGGCTTCTGTGAGACTAGAGTCGGGGGGCAAATCTTGCGTCCAGCTGTCCTCTTTCTCCTGCTGTAGCAACCGTAGCACAAAAGAGCAAAACTTCCTCTTCCCTTTTCATCATAATTTAAGGGAGAGCATGAGAGGGGAAGCCTATGGAAGACTTTGTCAAAGGCCACAAGCTTGGAGGAGATGGATTTCTTTCTAGTATTGTTATGAGTCCTCCAACATCAGACATTAGGGAGACCTTACAGTACAAGGGTTAAGAGTGGGGTATCTGAAGACAGATGAGTTGGATTTGAATTCCAGCTCTGCTACTTAAGGATCTGTGAGTTACTGAAACTTGCTGAGTTTCACTGAGCAGAAAATGGAGTCATCATCATAGTCCTGGGATGAGATTTGAGTGGAATAAAGTTTGAAAATCACTGAGCAAGGTGCCTGGCATATATATATATGTTGTGTAAATGACAGAAATTTTTTATTGCTGTTTTTATCATTGTCTATCTAGCTCATTTTCCTTTTCTAGATAAGTAAGTTGAGACTTTGAGATCTGTCAAAAGTCATGAGCTAGTTTGGGGCAAAACTAGGTCTTCTGCAGATCTTTGTGCTCCTAAATCAGTGCTCTTGTCTGTGTCTTGCTTGGTTGGCTCCCTGACCTCCCACTGCCAGGGATGACCAGGTGAAGCAGTCTTGAAAGGCCCTAAAGTGCTTAAGTGACTCCCATGGCAAGGAGGTGCCTGGGAAACAGGCAGACTGAGAAGTGTCAGTTTATAAGCCAAATCCTCAGGATCACCATCAAGATGACTTCTGAGTCCCCACAAGACCCCTCTCCGCTGGAATCTGCTTATTGGACACTTACAGCCTAGAGATGTTGGCTCAACTTTCCAAATCTGAACACAGGAAAGTATGACCTCTTACACTGCTAGTGAAATTCAATCCCTCTGACAGGGAAGCTCATATCTAACTTTAATAAAATCTCCTGATCAACATTAGCAACTCTTGCAGAAAATAGTCTTTGGGGGATTTAGGGATTTTCTTGTATTATTTTTAATGCATTAAGATGTTATCAACTTACTTACAGACTCTGATCACATTCCACATGAATACAAAACTCACAAAGGAGTCAGGGAATTAATCTACAGAGCTCTCACCACCCAACCACAAAGAATTTAATTCAGTGAAAGTTGTTTCCCCCCACCCCCCGAGCAAGCCTTCCCCAGCCTGTTGCAAATCCAGTCCTACCCAGTTCATAAAGTATTCCACAAGTTCACCTGTTCAATAATTAGGAAAAATCCTAAACAAGCATGGTTCTAAAAATCTCTATGAATAATTGTTTTTCTAGCATTGGCTATTCCAATAAGACAAGTGGGACTTCCCTAGGGGTCCAGCGGTTAAGACTTCACCTTCTAGTGCGTGGGGTGCAGGTTCAATCCCTGGTCAGGGAACTAGGATCCCACATGCCTCGTGGCCAAAAAACCAAAAAGACAAGCCATATGGCTGGATCCTATATACTGGGTGGCTTCAAACCTATACTCTAAATATATTAGTTCCCCAAAAGGAACTGATTTTGTTCCCTCTAAAGTTTTTAATTCACTAAAGCATTCCCCCTCCAGCTTTATCACTCCTCTGTGCTCCCATCCAACAAAAGAAAAGCAGTGCTGCTAAACAAAGGTCCCTCTGGACATGTCTACTTTCTCTATATAGGGGGAACACTCCTGTCACATGGGATCAGTGGGTCAATGAATAATGAGAGACAAGGAAAGCACCTGGGGTCAAAGGGATGGAAGGTGTTTCCAGGAAGCTACTTTCCAGCAGGCGGGATGAACCTCAAGAGCAGCTTGGAGTAAGGAGCCTACTACAGTCTGAAACAACTAACTGGGCTGTTGGATTAGCCTGCTTTACTACATCTTTGTTTTGTAATTCCTGTTAGATGGGTTTATGAAATTATAGACATGAAACAGTAAGCTAAGTCACTGCCTGGGTTTCAGGGTATCACTTGGTGAGACATTCCCTGCCTTTTACTGTTTATTTTATGGTGGAGAAGAACCAGCAGAGAACAAGAATCATCAAAGTATGAATGTGAGCTTTTATAACGCATTCAGAAAATATCAATTTGGTATATGCAACAAGCAAAGCTCTATAAATGAAATAAATGGAATATCACAATCCAGAAGAGTGGGATATATCGGGTGGATACTGCATTTTAAGTGTTCATCTCTATCGTGACATTTTCATTACTTAAAGGAAAAGGATGCTACGTCTCAGAGAGACATTTTAAATTTCCTGCTGGAATTCCATCTTCATTTTTGGTAACTCACCCAATAAGGGATGAGAGCTTAGGTATGGATGATGGATGTAATCCAGGCTTCTCATAAACGGAATTTAAAATTTTCTCAGAATAAAAATCAAACTATTTATTTAGGCCATAGCACAAGTTAGTTAACTTCACTTTCTCTTTTGCATCCTACGCAATCAGTGATGAAACAACTACGTTTTCAAGAACAATGGGGTATCTTTGTCATTGAACTGTAATGAGTATCTTCTTAGGATCGTAGCTTATCGTGTTTTTCTTTTCCGGGCAGCTTCAGGCCATTTCATTGATCTGCCCAGGGTTTCTCGGTTTGGTTCACAGCTAGTTAGAACTTTACACCTAAAGAAGGAACTAAATATCTCAGACGCATCTTTAGCTATGAACAAGTTTCTCAGGACACTCCAAGACACTCCTAATGTCTTCTTCAGTTTTGTGTCTTACCAAAGTATTTTTTTCTATCACCCAAACTCAAGGTTATATGTCTTCCTTCAACTTTGCCTTTCTTATCAGTGACCCAAAACTTTTTTTTTTTTGCCATTTAGAAGACAGTGTTCTATTTAGGTCATCTGTACATGGCCCAAGGTCCTCTTTCAAAAATTAAACTTTTAATTTATTATATTTATATATTAATTTTATAATATTATATCATTATAGATTCAGATGCAAGTTGTAAGAAATAATACAAAGAGGTCCCATGTACCCTTTACCCACTTTCCCCTCATGGTAACATCTTGCAAAACTGTAATACAATATCACAGCTAGGATACTGATGTTGATACAGTCAAGACAGAACATTTTCACCATCACAAGGATTCCACACGTTGCACTTTATAGCCACACTCACTTCTTTCCCTCCCCCATTCCCTCCTCAAACCCTGGCAGCCATTAACATGTTCTCTATTTAGATAATTTTGTTATTTCAATAATGCTGCGTAAATGGAATCTTACAGTATGTAACCTTTCGGGATTGGCTTTTTTCACTGAGCGTAATTGTTCAAAGATTCATCAAGGTCATTGCATGTATCAATAGTTGGTTCCTTTTTCTTGCTGAGTAGTATTCCATGGTATGGATCCATCACATTTTATTTAACCATTCACCATATTGAGTTGAAACAACCCCTGGGTTTCTTCCAGTTTTTGGCTATTAAGACTAAGCCTCTATAAACATTCATGCAGAAACTAACACAACATCGTAAAGCAATTATACTCCAATAAAGATGTGCAAAAAAAAAATTCATGTATAGGCTTTTTGGTATGAACATAAATCTTCATTTCTCCAGGATAAATGCCCAGGGGTACAAGTGCTCAATCATATGGCAGTATTACCACTAGTTTACTTTTTAAAAACTGCCAAATTGAATTGAGTATATAAAGGATCCATTCTTGACACAAGTGGTGAGCATTTGAGAATGTCTTCTCCACTTTTCCTTAGCTTGGGCATACCGTCGCTGGGAATGTCTTGAGCAATCATTTCTCAGTTTGACCTAGTTGTATGCACTTGACATTCCTCGGTCAGCAGATGCTGCTGATACCAATGACTTTACTGGAAGTTACAAGGGACAGTCCTTCCACATATCAGGATTGAGGATGCCTATCCATTTGCACATACTGATAATTTTCATTTTGCCAACTTATTATCAACATGCCAACAACTATGGCCTGGTCTTTTCAAGACCTAGCATTCTGTCCTCAATCATTATTTAATCATAAGCTAGTCCCTTAACCTCTTCGTATTTGAATTTTTGATAATTAAGGATACTAGAATATATCACATTTATCTCCCAGGGCTTTTTGGTAAGGATCAAAGAAATCACAGTACCTAATTCAACCTACTCACTTCAGAGATAAGGAAATAAGCACAAAGAGGTGAAGGGAATTCTCTAAGGTCATAATACTGGTTGATGGAAAATCCAGAATAAGCACTAAGCCCATACTCTGGTTTTGTACTTCAGGTAAAAGTATTTTGAAAAGTTCCAATATTATATGAGAAAAATGGTGGGGAAGCTCAGGCCAGAGAGGCTGGGCCTTGAATAATCCAGTGAACAGGGCTATTCCTAAACAGGCAGGGGGTATAGTTGAGCCATTTATAATGACTCCCCACTCTGAGTTTCCAATGAGTGTGCTGTTCTCTTATTTGTGGTTAATATATACCCCAATAAATTATGAATAAGCTAAGATCTTTCCTCCATGGGAACTTCTGATACCTAGAGAATCCAGAATCCTCAATATTCCTTTATTCAACCTTTCTGAAACCTGCCTTCAGTCAATTCACCTAATCAAATTCACACATTTGTGTGACAACTTGGACCTTCTGTTAACTGGTGTTTGTCTGCTGGGCTTTTCAAGTTTATAGCAGTTTTCCTTTATTCAGTGTTCTCCTTTAATACATATAAGTAAAATGGGACCAACAATAGTATCTACTTCATAATGTCATTGAGTGGATTCAGTGACACAATGCAAAGCGTCTGGCATAAAGTAAGGACACAAAATGTTAAGGTTTATGACTTTTTAGTGATATTAACAATATTACCATTTCATAAGAAATAATTAGGGATTGTTACTCCTGAATTAATCAATTAAGTTAAAGCTTATCTCCTTGTTTCTGCTCGCTTCATCCTAACTCAGAGAATTGCAGTGGCCTCTTTGATTCTGTGATGTCGATGGTACAAGGGGTCAGAGCAGAGAAGACAGTGGAATCTTTGTCAGGTGTGATTCCCCATTCCCCCCTTCACAGATGAGATTCTCAAGCCACAATGCAATCAGATTCTCCTGACACCCTGTTTAAGTTTCCCTCCATTCCCTCTACTGATACTGATGCATGGACATGAGGAAGAGATCTCAGTTTCCTTGGCCCTTTACCTGTGTCCAAGCTCATGGGCAATTGTGAAAGCCAAGGGGAGTCCAGAATCTTCATTGATGTTACAACTCCGGTGAGGCTGGCACATTCCCGACAGGTGGGACAGACCCAGAGTCTCACAGGGGCGATTGACACCAGCACAGATGTCTTTTCTGAAAGTAGAGAACAGAGATGAGTAGGTACATCTGGAAAAAAGAAAAACAACCCTCCTGGAAGAAAACTGGGTATTAATTCACATTCAGTATGGTCTGTAAAGCATGATTAAAATTGTTTTAATAGTCCATACGAATGAGGGAGCAATTTTGAATTCACTAGAATTATTCTGATTTCACCACTTGATGACTGAATCTCACTAACACCTGAAAAAGGTAGGAAAATATGGCAAATGTTTTACTTTGAGTTGTTTTTGCTCTTAATCTCAGGAGGCCAAATTATATTATTTGACCCATAAGGGAAGGATTTGATTGAAAACTGGAATTAATTTGAACTTTTAAATAGGGAAGGGAGAACCATCAGTGGCTGAGGTTTTTTCAGACATGAAACACCTTTTTGGTCGTTCTGAGGTCCGTCATCAAAACTCATCTGAGAATTTTTAGTCATTCATGAAAAAGGGAATTGGTGCAATAAACCCATCCAGAGATCAAATTAATGGTCTCTCCGGTTCCACCACCCTAACAATACTGCATATGGGAGGGGATGGACACACAAACACTCCTAGGATCTTACAAAATACTAGTTACAGCTTTTAAATATAAAAATGTGCTCCCATATCCTAGAAGGGCTCATTTCAATCAGTGACAAGAGTTTTGAAGAGTCGTTAATTAGTCGTATGGTTTTCTTTAGTTCAAGAAGTCTTTGCCAAGAAAGACTAGCACAAACGCCAACAAGGTTCTGAGCTTTAGCTGGTTGCAGACCTTCAGATCACGGGGTTTGTGTGGGTGTGATTTCTGGCAATAAATGGTCTGCTTTTTGTGTCCATTGGGCCATAGCAAAGGTTCAGGCTCTGAGAACCCCCATAAGTTCTCAGGTCTCCAAGAGGCAATGGCTGGGACAATGGAACAGGAGAAAGCAACTCCCAGCATGAGCAGCAGACGTGAGTCCACACCCCTACTAGCAGTGGTAGTTCCGTGTTGGAGAGCTAGATTGGATCATATAGCCCAAGCATTTCAAATAATTTCTGAGTCTGTGGGAGGACCGACCAAATGCTTTTCCACCCCTACTGTTAGATTTACTTTTTATTATTTCATTAAAAAAAAAAGTCTAGGTCTGCATGGAGCTGCTGGGAAAAGATGAATGATGCTTTTTGGTAATCTACCAACTTTCTGAAAGTGCAGGAAGTTGGGTCCCTTAAATAACTGTTCATTGAGTGCCTATTAAGTATCCAGCACTAAAGAAGATAAAAGCAGGTAACAAAAGGATTGTAAGATAGGGGTGGTCTTGCAGGCAAAGAGCTCCAGGAGGAGATCAGCTCCACCTCCACCATGCACTGAGGATAGTAAAAGAGAAAACATGCCTTGGCATGCAGCCACCAGCCCCATTTCACAAGGCGTGTTCACACCAAAACCACCTTCTACTGAATGCACCTCTATAGTGAGCTCTGTTGAAGTGGATCTCAGCGTAGTCCTCCAGAAGCAAGTTCAGTCTTATACTTCCCTCCCTTCCTGAGCCTACCTATTTGTTCAGAGCAGAGGTTCTCAACAGGGGTTGATTTTTGTTCCCCGCACCCTCCTAGGGAACATCTGGCAACGTCTGGAGACAATTTTAGCTGTCACAACTTCGAGGAGGGTGCTACTGCCATCTCATGGATAGAGGCCAGGGATACTGTGTTTTGTTTTGTTTTTTTCTGATATTTATTTATTTTTGGCTACGTTGGGTCTTAGCTGTGGCATGCAGGATCTTTTCTTGTGGCCCGTGGGGTTCTCTCTAGTTGTGGTGTGTGGGCTCCCGAGTGCGTGGGGTCTGTAGCTGTGGCACACAGGCTTAGTGGCCCCGTGGCGTGTGGGATCTTGGTTCCCAGACCAGGGATCGAACCCACGTCCCCTGCATTGGAAGGTGGATTCTTAACCACTGGACCACCAGGGAAACCCCCAGGGATACTGTTAAATACACTTCAATGCACAGCCCCTCACAGCAAAGAATTAGCCAACCCAAAATGTCAATGGTGTTGATACTGAGAAATCCTGCTTCAGAACTTGAAATTCTCTCTACTGTCTAGGAGTTGGTGAGGTTCATCAAAGCTTGAAACCTGACCCCTGTTCTAAGGAAGAAAAATTATCACAGTAAGAAAAAAAGGAGAACAGATCCTTCGTATTCTTACTGAGTAATAGTATGGCTATTGGGGTCAAGCTACCTGGATTTAAGTCTCTACTGTACCTGTTAAAAGCAGTGAGATTTTGGGCAAGTGACATAATTAAGCCTCAGTTTCCCCATCTGTACAATAGGAATGATTGACAGTAATGAACTACCAGGGTTGTTGTGGGGATTAAATGGAATGATGATTGTTCTAACAGATGTAGCATAGGGCCTGGCCCGTGTCAAATACTCCCTAAATGCCAACTCTCATTAACTCACTGATTTATGCATGTGAGAATGAGAGGAGAAACTATTTCTGCTTTCAGGGAAAGAAAGGAGACAGTGCTGAGACACAGCTGCCAGGTGGCCAATGCTGGTCTCATGATCCAGGGTTCTTCCCTACAGCCGGGTCCTAGTCTAGACCGAAGTCTTCCCCTGGCCACTTGCCTGGGTCCTCATGTTCCCTGGCTGCCTGCTGGCTCCCCAAAGCCTCTGTGCTTACATTCTACACCTACATCAACCTATTTCCCAGGGCAGCTATGATCAACCCAGGTGTCATAAGACCTAATGAACCTAATGTAATAGGTTTATGCCACAGACTTATTTTGGAACGTATTTGCATTCAACCGAAGTTTTGATACTATCACTCAAAAGAGTGATTCTGATGATTGGAATTTTGGGTCAGGGTAAGACAGAAATTTGGATAGGGTGGGGGCTGCTTATCATCCCTTGCACATAACCTATGCACTGGGATAGCCCTGTCAAAGGGACAGATGACAAGCCAAGATGTTCAGGGGCAGCCTGTCCTCCCCAGGGACAACAAACAAGACACCCAGGGCCTTTCCGCTTATGAGGGTCTCTTCAGCTGGAGGGCCAGGCTGAAAGGCCTCTTCCACTACACATCTCTGGATTTCAGGATGTCTCTGAATGTACATAGGAGTGCCCAGTGAAAACTTACTTTCCCCCCACTAAGAGCTTCATTTGTCTAGATTAAAATAGTGTCTGTTACCTAGTAGGTACTCAAAAAATATTTAATGAATCAATGAGCAAACATAGCATCCCAAGAGCCTAGGTTGATCAGGTAAATTCACTAGTTTTTCACAGCTATGAGTCCTAGAAGGTCTGACGGTTCTTCTTCAGCACCATACGGTCACTCTGTAGTCAGAACAAATAGTATCCTCATGAGGGTAAAAGGGAGAAAGGTGCAAGCAAACCACTCTGCCTATTCAGGGGAGGACCTTCTCCCCATATTCTGTCTTCAACATCGGTCAGAGATGGGTTACAAGGAGGACTGATTTCTGTAGTGATAGTTGCAGCTTTCTAAATTGGAGGAAATTTTTAAAAAGAAAATTAAAGGATGAGAAATTCCATGGTTAAGAGTTAAAGGAGCCTTTAATGAGGATCTGCTAACAAGCTTCCCGATTGTTTATAGAACTGCACCGAAAAGCCAGTTTTAAAGATGAAATCATCACTGGGATAGGAAAGAGCAGATGCGGTTTATTAACACAGAGAGCTGTGCGCATTTAGCAAGTTTGCTGACTGCTCCCTTACTGGTATGGGAGTCAGGAAGTGTCTAGTTGATAGATGCTGCCTTTTAAATGACAAGAGCAGCAAAGAGCAGAAGAATCTCATGAGGTTGAATACCTGGCAACCCTTTCACCTGCCAGCCCTCCCTGCCTTGCAGCCCCTGGCTCTGGGGTACCTGGTGAGAAGGACGGCCACATCATGATGGGCAGGGTTGAGGTCACTCTTGGGATTGATGCTCTTCTGCCACTTACAGAAGCTGGACAGTGTCTTCTCTGCATGGTGAACTATTTTCAGTCCTTGCTGGAGAAAGAAGAGGAAGAGATTGGCATGGGTGATTTTTCTGGTCAGAGCCCATCATTTTAGTCTACAGAAGCAGCTAGGTGAGATGAGCTCTGGGTGGGTGTCCCAGACATCTGGCAAGAATTCGGGGAGGCCAATGTACTCCTCTGGGCCAAACCCCTGCTCTAAACACTATCATTCCCATGACTTCCACTAAAAGAACCTAAAGGGGAGAACTGCAGGATAGAAATTATTACTGGGACAAGTAGCCCTTGAAGAAAAACTAAAAATATATTAGCAAAGACCAAGATCTGTTGGAAGTTCTATTTCTACTGGTTCTCTTCTTCCTAGGCCAATACAATTCCAAAGAGACATTTTTATTTCTAATGCAAAATGAATAGATTTTCAACAAAAAGCATCTTCCTTTCATGAGGTATCTTGCAAGGATGTACTGGGTGTTTCCTTGCCCATGGTTACCATCTTGGTTTGACATCTGTGGGTAAAGGGTAGAGGGTGACATAATCTCTCCAGGCTTTTAACCAGTTAGGATCATTGATTGTCTGACAACAATTAGGACGCTGGGGTAGATGCCCCAGCCTGCAACTTCAAGGGCTCCCAACTCATATCTAGCTGGCCCGCAGTTACTATTGGAGATGGAAGGAGAGGGCTTGTTCCAAATTAACTGGATGAACACTTGTCAAATGGGAGAGAAGAGAAAAGGGAAAATCAGCCCTAGAAGGGCTCCAGTTTAATTCGAATTTCTAAAGGAGAAATTCCTTTCCCTTGCCTCATTTCTTCGGGATCTCTATGTAGTGCCATCTCTTAAACAGGGTGGATTCTACGTGGAGAATGACTACCTCCCTTGGCTTACTCTAATCCAAGTCTATTACTCTGGGCTTGGCCCAAGATCTTCAGGGCTGTCTCTACATCAAACTATGAGCTTGCTTCTCTATATTCCGTATTTTGCTAAGGCCCACACCCAAATCCAACAAGGCCTGAGAGGCTTCGGTTGCTTGTCAGAGGTACTCCCAGGTCCCCCCACCCGTGCTAATTGACTACCATAGATCACCTTCCCTTCATGAAAACACAGACAGGTGGCTGATCGCTCATAAAAACTCACTGAACTCCCTAGTGTAAAGAATTTAAATAAAAGCAACAGACTTCATTATTTAACAATCCTCATCATTATAGCATCCATTATAGGGTATATGGTGGTGGAGGGAGAGAGGTTCTGGGGACTAGCTGGGCACAGGTGAGTCAGTCTCCTATTCAACTAGTCAAACTGTAGTTAGAACAGGAACCCTACTGGAACAAACATCCCACACCCACCATAAGGAACGGGCTAGGTGGCATGAATTATGAATGGAAAGGAAGAAAAGAGGAGGAAAGAAAAGGAGTGGGGGTGGAGGGTAGAAAGATGGGAAAGGAGAAAAGGAAGGAAAGAAACATTTCTTGATCATTTACTTATGTGCCAGATATTTTCACATAAATTCTCTAATTTAATTTCATCTTCTCAGCGTTACTTGTAAAGAAAGCATTGTTATTTTCATTTTATAATAAGAGGAAGTTAAACCTCAGAGAAGTGAAAAACTAGCTGAAGGTCACTCAGGTCAGTTACTGAATCAAAGACTATGAGAACAGGGGCTCCTTGATGAAGCTGTACTTCTAATCGGTGACCAGCCTCATTAGAAAGGTGCCTTACTTCCCCTTCAGACAAGAAGGCAAGTTATCAGACAAAACATTAGCTATGATTAGATTGCTTTGAGGTTTGTTTTAAACCCTACATTTGCTTGTTTGTTTGTTTGTTTGTTTTGGGGGGAGGAAGTCTCTGAAAGAATACTCATTAATTAAAAAATCATGCCATTTTGCATTGTTCCAAAGAAAATGAAAGTGGTATAAATCTAACAAAACATGCACAGGATCTGTATCTGGAAAATTACAAAATTCTGAGGAATGACATGAGTCTTGATCTAAACTTCACACCTTATACAAAAATTATCTCAAGATGTATCACAGACTGAAATGTAAAATATAAAACTTGCGAAAAAAATCATAGGGGAAAGTCTTGGGTCCCCAGGGAAAGAGTTCAGAGACTGGATACTGATCAGATGATCCAGAAAAGGAAAAACCGAGAAATTGGACCTCATCAAAATGAAAAACTTTTGCTCTGAGAGAAACTTGTGAAGAGAATGAAAAGATGAGCTACAGAGTGGGAGAAAGTATTTCTAAGCCATATAGCTGTCAAAGGACTTGCCTCTAGAAAAATCTAAAGATCTCTCAAAACTCAACAGTAAAAGAACAATGAGAAAACAGGCAAAAGACATGAAGAGACATTTCACTGAAGGGGATATACAGACGGCGAATAAGCACAACAAAAAGATGTTGTACCTCATTAGCCGTCAAAGAACTGCAAATTAAAACCACAATGAGATATTACTACCTGCCTATTAGAATGACTAAAATTTTAAAAAGTGACAGCACCCAAACAATGGTAAGGATGTGGTAAAATTGGGTCACTCGTACACTGCTGGTGAGAATGTAAAATGGTATAGCTGCTATGGAAAACAGTTTGAAGTTTCTTAAAAAACTAAACATGCAACTACCATATGACCCAGCAATTACATTCCTGGACATTTGTCCCAGAGAAATGAAGACTCATGCTCACACAAAAGCCTGTAGTGGAATGTTTATAGCAGCTTCATGCATGATAGCAGAAAACTGGAAACAACCAAAATGCCCCTCAATGAGTGAATGGTTAAATAAACTGTTATATACCATGGAATGCTACTTAGGACCAAAAAGGAACAAATTCTCCATACACACAACTTGGACGGATCTCAAGGGAATTACACTGAATGAAAATAATCCAATCTCAAGAGGTTATATACTATACAATTCCATTTATATAACATTCTTGAAATGACAAAATTATACAGACATAGAACAGATTAGTGTTTTCCAGGAGTTAGGCCGGTAGACAGAAGGGAGGTACGAAAGGGTAGCATGAGGGATCTTTGTAATGGAACTGTTCTGTACTGTGGCAAATGTTCCAGAAATCTATACATGTTAAAATTGCATAGAACTAACTGTGAATACACACACACACACACACACACACACACACACACTCACACATCAATTAGTGCTTGTAAAACTGGTGAAATCTGAATAAGGTAGGTGTTTGTATGAATATCAATTTATTGGTTCTAATGTTGTACCAAAGTTATAAGAGATGTTACCACTGGGGGAAACCGGGTGAAAGGTATATGGGATTTCTCTGTACTACTTCTTACAACTGCATGTGAATCTACAATTACCTCAAAAAATTTTTAATATCTTAAAAATAATAACTGATCTGAATCAAGGCTAGAGGGTAGCAATAGAAGGTCTTATAAAGCAGGGCTCCCCAACCCCCAGGCCGTGGGCCGGTACCAGTCCGCGGCCTGTTAGGAGCTGGGCCACACAGCAGGAGGTGTGCAGCGGGCAAGGGAGCGAGCGAAGCTACATCTGCTGCTCCCCATTGCTCCCCATCGCTCACGTCACTGCCTGAAACCCCCTGCGCCCTGATCGCTGGCATTACCATCTGAACCATCCCCCCCCCCGCCCCCATCCGTGGAAAAATTGACTTCCACGAAACAGTTCCCTGGTGCCAAAAATGTTGGGGGCCGCTGTTATAAAGCACTTTTCAGTATGAGCCTATGTGGGTTACTTACTAATTAAATATGTGTGAGTTCCCAGAGTTTTGAATCAAAGGAAACGTATAATCTTTCAGATGGGTTACAGTGGGTGGCCCACACATCACAGACCCACATACCCACACACCCACTCTGAGGTTCAGTTAAGTTCCCTATTTAAATAGCCATGAATGTAAAAGCTTGTTAGAGCCAAGGTGGCCACACAGGCAGAAGCAGATGGAGCCCCTCTCAAAATGTCCTCCTGCGGCTCACAGTCCCTGGAGGGGGCACACAGCTCAAGGTGGGATATTGCCAGACTGGAAAAAATAAATTTTTTCCTTTAATATTGTCCTTTTTTTTTTTTTAACATCTTTATTGGAGTATAATTGCTTTACAACGGTGTGTTAGTTTCTGCTTTATAACAAAATGAATCAGCTATACGTATACATATATCCCCATATCCCCTCCCTCTTGCGTCTCCCTCCCTCCCACCCTCCCTATCCCACCCCTCTAGCTGGTCACAAACCACCGAGCTGATCTCCCTGTGCTATATTGTCCTTTTATACATTGGCTGGACTCACAATTTTGGAAGAACTTACATACCAATCCACATGTGTCTCTTTGAGGAAAAGTGAATGTTTACAAACATCCACTGTCCCTGGATTCTGAGCCAAATTCAGTGTCAGCAAGGACATATCTTCACCATCACGGAAAAAGCAGTCATCTTCCAGATGCCGCAGCATAAAATCTGCCTCCAATTTTCCCATCGTTACTACGAGCCCATTTCCCTGAAGGATCTTGGGAACTATAAACCCAATCCTCTCATTTAAACAATGAGGAAATCCAGGCCAGAGAGGGGAGTAATTCAGCAGGTTTTGGCAGAGCAAGGTTGTGATGCAAGGTATGCAGCTACTAATCCAGGAATGGTGGTTTCCAAACTATTGAAGACTTCTCTAACCCTTCTGTTTGAATAACTGCAAAGAATTAGCAATTCACCTATCAATGGTTATCGCTTATTTATCTCCTGCACCTCACACTCCCACCACCAGGAAGGAGACAAACACAGGCAGAGACCCTCTCCTTCCAAGATCCCCAGCTCTCCCTTCGTTTTACTCTCTGGCCACTTCTTGGGCTCCTTTATGGGCTCTTCTGCCCTGCTTTTGGCTCATTGCTAGTTCACTCTCAATCACAGTTGTATTTTGGGAAATCACCTATACACTATTAGCTCTCAAATCTCAATCTCATTACAAACCTCTCCTGGAGTTCAAACTCATGTACCCAAATCTCTTGATGGACACCCCCTTCCAGATGGCACCACAGGTACCCACAGCTCAGCATCCCTGAAAT